CATAAATGTCTTGCACATTTTTATTTAGATTTATTCCTAGGTAGTTTCTTTTTCCATTTTAAATAATTTTTAAGCTCTCCCTTTGTTCCTGGATTATAGAAATCCAATAGATTTTTGCATCTTGAGCTTATATCTAGCCATCTTGCTAATAATGTTTTTTAGTAAGAGAGAGGATTTTCTTAGCAAAGAGGAATAAATGTAAAATTAAATAAAAACGTTATGGGTCAGCTCTGGTCAATAGAACTTTCCACGATAATGGAAATGTTCTTAGTGCTGTCAAAAACTATAGCCATTAGTCACATGTGTTTTTAAATTTTTATTTATTTATTTTTTTGCGGTACTCGGGCCTCTCACTGTTGTGGCCTCTCCCGTTGTGGAGCACAGGCTCCGGACGCGCAGGCTCAGCGGCCACGCCTCACGGTCCCAGCCGCTCCGCTGCATGCGGGATCCTCCCGGACCAGGGCACGAACCCGTGTCCCCTGCATCGGCAGGTGGGCTCTCAACCACTGTGCCACCAGGGAAGCCCATAAATTTTAAAATGTAAGTTCAATAAAATTCAAATTTCAGTTGCTAAGTCAATCTTGCCCACATTTCAAGTATTTAATAGCCACTTGTGACTAATGGACACTATACTGGACATTGTAGCTCTAGACTATTAGACTGTGAAGCCATGGCGCCCCGGGATTTTATCTTTGTCAATGGCATAGTGAGATCTTTCATGTGACAGTTATTCTGTTATTAAAAAGAGAAGTTACTTAACCTAGTCATCCCTAACTTTTTGAAATAATCCAACATAGCTTTCACTATCCATGAATTTCTTGAATCATATTTATGTTTCTAAACTATTTCTTGCGTCAAGTGTTCACTTTGTAGCAAGTTCATTGTTCTAAAATGGCACATACCAAAGTATCAAGAGGTTCCCTTATTCCTGATAAGCTGTGATTGGATGAAGAAGACCTTGTTACCCTGCCTATCTGATTTTTATTATAATCAGATGTTAATCTGTATCAGTCTCCATATTCAAAATTCACCTTCAAAATTATATGTTATTCACATGATGGTTGTCTTTATTTCATTTAGCTAGTATCATGACCTTATAAATGCAATTTTGGTCATTTTCTCCTAAAATCTCCTATTTATCCATGTGGAAATACATCTACTTCTTTGCCCTCTTATAAACTCTTCCTGTAATTTAATCCTCATGAGCTTTATTTCCCCTAATTTTAATTACTTAATATTTT